TCCTTTTCTTTTCTTTTCTTTCCTTTTCTTTTCTTTCCGTAACCAACTTAATAGAATCTCAATCTCAGTCTTTTATGCGCCCCTATTATGTATATGACTCATCAGCAGCTGTATAGCGAGAGTAGATTGGGAAGAGCTTTGGACAACCAATATACCCTGTCACGTTATCTTATCATTCAATCTTGACAAAAAAGACATATCCGGATGTCATACTCAAAGCAGTTTTCTCCTAATTACGACTATTGGGAGATATCCGTTGAGAAGCTATATATACACTACGTAAAGCAGAGAGCTCGATTTGAATTTAAATATGTTTATGCAAATACTTAAGGTACTGTCAATTGCTCTATGAATGACATCACATCAAAACAAACAAACTTTAACGATAGGGGTCAAGGTCGCTGGAGGGGGATGGAATGACAACAACACATCTTAAATCACAATGAAATTTGGTTAATGAGCTGATGAAGGCAAGAACAACTAAATATTATGCTAAATATCTCGAAAGAAGAGAACTAAGCTTAAATTTAGCCTTAATTTGTATTATTTTAGCCGATGTAAGCAAACCGGGACGTTATTTTGAAATAGGGCAAGTAAGTCTCCTTCAGTCCTAAGTTTTCCGTGGCAGGTTTTGTGATTATAAGCTCCTTCGATTACACAGCAAATTACTATTACTATGACTCAATACATTAAAACAAAAAAGTTGTTTTTTAACTAAAGAGAATTTCAATTTCTAAAACATATTTTGGCGCGTAAATGGCTTTGGAAAATGAGATAAATTAAAAAAGAAGAAGAAGTAAATAAAGAATAAAATGCAAAACTTCTAAAACTGAAAAAAGGGTGAAAAGGACTTTCTTTTGGTAATTGCTTTCTTATATTCTGATGAAATTTCCAAATTTTGACACGAACTGAGAAATTTTGCTATGCTTTATTGTATTTCATGTGCCGTCGTGAGGTTGGGAGTGAAACGTAATAAAATGAAATGAAATAATAAATATAAGAATAAATCTCTTTATTTAAGTGTGTAGTCGTACCAGCGCTGGCTTTCACCCTAATCGACATATTCAATGAGGGAGAAATAACCATGTCTTTTGAAATTACCAAATTTTGGTTAGACCAACATGTTACGAACAATGTTAACCGAGATAAGCTATTTCTTGAATTTAAGCTTAAAATATGGTGGTGTCTGTCAAAAAGAACCTAGCAATTGCCCTTATTTCACACCAGACTCACTAATAAAACCAAACAAATCATTTGGAAATCGCACTGGTTGTCAAGGAAAAGAAAGAAATGTCCAACGAAACGCGATCAATTAAAACTAACCTTGAGTAAAGTGGGTTGAAAAATTGCGTCCAAATTCGCTGCCATATTCATGTTCAAAAAGGATTATCTAAGTTTTTTTGTAATATTGCGGCTACATTGGTTTATTTTCTATAATTTAGCCAGTTTCTGCGATACCCTCTTTCCAGTTAAGACTTAAGCCCCCAAAAAATGACGAGCAAATACACAATATGAGCAAGTTATCAAGTTTTTTCTAAGTTTTTTTTGGTAACTCATCTCATCATTTTCATATTGAATGGATTTTAGATTTTGCATCGCCATTTTTCGTTGAAACGATAGTAAGTAAATTTTTTTTTTCTGCTTCAATTGTTAAATTTCTGTCTGAAATGGCTTGCGTTGAGTCTCAGTACTATTCAAATTTTTCAGTATCTTCAAAACTGGCAAGCTGCATAATAAAAGTAAATTGGAACGTTAAGCTGGGTTCTCACTAGGGACGTAAGCCAACATAAGCATAAGCAAAGGCGCGAGAGATAAAACGCAAGAAAAAAAACCCAAAATCTTCCGTTTTCTCGCGCTTGCGTCGCTTCTTTTCATAGTGAGAACATGGAGTTGCGTCTGCTTGTATCGCTAGTGAGAATCATACTTTAAGGTTCCCAAGAAAACCTTTTTTCGATTTCTTACCTCATGAAGAGTTGCAGCTCTGTGAACATTACGTTCAACCGAATCTGATATACTTCTCCTGAGCATGCTTGAGGACTTCACATGAGCTGTTTTGGAAGTCATCATCGAAGCAGTGTAGAATATTTGGTTGTTTGTTTTCGTCCTTTTCTTTCGCTGTTCGTCTAACATTTCTTTTAGAGCGAAAAAATTGCGAGCTCTTCTGTCTTCTTCGTTCATYTTTAATCCAGGATAACCCACAACCTCGAACTCGGATATTTTAGAAACTTTAAATCGCGAATACTTAAGTTACGAGAAAGTTTAAGCAGAAATATAAGAAATAACCATTCGTTTAGCATGTACGATATTAATTTGCAATTAAACTGTACTCGGTAGTTTTCAAGTTCTCTAGTTTTCGATGCCACTAGAGGTTGGCACAGATAATGAAATGAAAAACGATAACATGACAGCATTGAATGAAAGATATTAGCATAGACAATAATATTAAAAGACACTCGAAAATGTAAGTAAATGTTTGATAAAAAAGGAGATTTTTTTCTCTTTTCAAATCGGTTCGATTACATACGTACATCAAATATTGACCAACAAAAGATCTTAAAACTTAATATTAACTTTAATAGAAGATTATTTTGGGAAATTTTATCGAAATGTCAGCTGGATTCGGAATCTAATAATTATCGAGAAATCTTTATTTTATCATCAAACGAGACTTGAAAGCTATTTCATATTATAATGAGACTAGTCTACAATTTATCATGGGTGGAAGACAATAATTAATTCCAAGATATACTAATATCTAGGTTAACTTGACTTATTTTGTATTTTTGTATTTATTTCTTTTTTGGATTGAATCAAGCTTTAAATCAAGAAAGAAAGTCAGTATCTTCTTAAATCTTATCTTCATTATTAGGTTAGATTTTATGTTTTATTTTTTAAATTTTCTTTTCTTTTTTATTATTTATTGATAATTTTTTCCGTTTCTAAAATTCAAAAATATGTTAAATAAAAAAATTAAAAATCACAATGCTTTTGTTTTTAGAGTGAAAGAATAAGTTTTGTTATAGAATGTAAATAAATCTTTTAATATAGTATAGTGCAATATAATTACTCTAGAAAGCCATTATCAAAACAGGGAGCATTTTTAATTAAAATTAAACAAATCAGTCAATCAGCTGTTGCGTTTTCCATCATATTCATCACTTCCCGAGCCTTCGGTCTTTACTGGTCAGCTCCAAGCAGCTCAAAACATGAGCAATCAAGTATGACATATTTAGTAAAAGGACATAGGGTAACGAAAAGATGACGTCATGAAATTATTTTCGAGGACTTTAGGATTTGGATGACATTATTAGAAACTGCATGTAAAAATATGGTAATGTGTAGAATTTCAGAGCGATAGCGAAGAAATAGAAAACGCGCGCGTGTGCTGTGTGCAGTTAAAAACAGGGTTCGTGCTGAGGCAACCACTTCAAATTCAAGGACTATTCAAGGAGTATACAAGGACCCAAAAATGAATTTTGCAAGGAGTATGTTCAGCTAACTATGCCAAGGTTTTACACGGTGGTTGCACATGGCCGACTTTCAGATTTTCTGATCTTTGCACGCCGGGGGTTTTGGCAGAACACGAGAGAAGTGTTAGGAGAAGCACGACGTGTAGATGAGTGCTTCTTGACACTTTTCGAGTGTTCTGCCAATCCCCAAGTGCTTTATAACTCAACACAGCATAACAAGCAAGTTTTTTTATTTCTTTTATAAAATACAAATTACGTGAATGACGAAAGTGAAAGTGCGCGCGCGTGCTGTGTGCTCTCATAAATTACGCGCTCCCAACCAATCAGTACGCGAGATTCAGAGCAGTTATTCTATAAAGTAAAATAACAGCTGAGATATAGGTAATTTAAAGCAAAAAATTCACATACATTTGCTCTTATTTGGTGCTGATTGGAGCCAGTGCAAAATAAGAGAAAATGTATAGGGCTTTTTGAGTTGTCCAATATCTCCATTTTTTAAAGCTAAAAAGTTGGCAGAAGCGTAGGCAATGTTCTACTTCTAAAAATATTAATAATTTAAAGCTGAATTGCAAGTTTTTAAATTTAATGACGTGAGTCATACTTTGGTACTCTATTATTTAGAATTTAATCACATCCAGGAAATGTTGACTTTTTCATCCAAATAGACCTTATTCGTGGTGTGACTAATGTTTTCCCAATTCAGCGTGATAAACCTCTGGGGGAATGAAGAGCTATTATTTTGAAACTCGTCCGGATATCATCATTATTCCTGTCGTATCCTTTGGAATACTCATGAATTTTTCGAAGAGTAAAAACAAAAGAAAATGAATGCCCTGGAGGTTCGTCACGCTGAATTGGGAAAACAGGTCTATTTATCACCTTATGGACCTTAACTCTTTACTAGTCAGMACGTTGAAGCACAACAAACGAAGATACTCCATGTATGTATAATATTTTCTACTTCACAATGAACCGTTATGATTTTATTGATTTCCGAAAAGTACAATTCTCATCACAGTCTTTAAGTCAAAAATTTAATGCAAAATTATGAAAACAGAATTACTTGAAGAAAACGTGACATTAAAATTATCAGTTACTGCCAGCTTATCTGCTCATTTCCAAAGCTATCTATTCAGTATTTTTTATTTTGTTTTGAAGATTTACGCCATTTAGAGAGAATCCAGGTTAGCTACGACAGTTTCGAGACTAAAAATGAAAGAAAAAAAGAAAAAGAAATAAAATAAATAAAATAAATTATTTCTTACTGGTGGGGAAAAAAAAMCTAAAAATGGGCTAAATTCAAAAAATAACCACGCAGAGCGAAAGAAGTGTTCTTTATCAATGATCGGGTAAAATTTCGAGGCTTTATTTCACGTTTCAATGATTTTATTGACTTTTTTGATGAATCCCCATACATTTCCTTATAACAGGACTACACAGAAACCAAGCTTGGGCTACCTGTGGTTGGAATGTTGGCATGTATTCCTTATTTAGTTTGTTGTCGTTTGTCTATACAATACAAGTAATATATCTCTGGTTCATCAACTATTGTCACAGGGCTTAGAGAGACATGTCAGTGCATGCAAACTTGGTGAGCATGTGTTTTTTTCAATGTTACAATGTTATCCAACGTTACGATGCAAGCAATTTTGTGCACTATTTCATGGGAAATTCCACTGAGGTCCTCAATAATATACATGTTTTAATATGAATGCTTTTATTGATTACTTAGCAAATCGAGGTCCCTTTCCTATGGTCTTATTGAACATGTTATGGCGTCAGCATATGATCCAAACTCAAGTGGAACCATGAGAGTCATGAGCACAGTGAGAAATTATTTTTATTTTTTGTGTTAAAAATAGATTTTGATCTGTGTATTTTGCTGGACACAGCAATAAGATTGCTTGCCTTGTTAGTGCATCTGGGAAGTGCTGGAGAGCGCACATTTTGGAAGTTTGGAGGCATGCACTAACATTTCTTCTCTAAGTATTGTGTCACCTAGCCCAAATATAACCAATTTTATTAACTGAGATGATATATGAAGCAAAAATCATTTATAACTTACCAATTGTTTGGAACTGATTTACATATTTCTAAAAGGTCACCTGGAGATCAAGGGAAACAACGAATACATGTAAAAATGACAAGATCAAAGCTATCAGTGTAGCTATACTCATACTCACACCACCACAATCCATACAACACCAATATCAAGTTATAACTAGCACCACTAGAGATGAAGGGAAACAACGAATAAAAAATGACAAGATCAAAGCTATCAGTGTAGCTATACTCATACTCTCACCACCACAATCTTTACAACACCAATATCACGTTATAAACCATCACCACTGGAGATGAAGGGAAACAACGAATAAAAAATGACAAGATCAAAGCTATATCAGTGTAGCTATACTCATACTCACACCACCACAATCTTTACAACACCACTATCATGTTATAATAACCAGTACCACTGGAGATGAAGGGAAACGAATAAAAAATGACAAGATCAAAGCTATCAGTGTAGCTATACTCATACTCACACCACCACAATCATTACAACACCAATATCACGTTATAATAACCAGCACCACTGGAGATGAAGGGGAACGATGAATAAAAAATGACAAGATCAAAGGCTATCAATGTAGCTATACTCATACTCTCACCACCACCATCACCGCTACRAATGCAACCAAATTTATCACTACCATCATAGTGCTAGTTCGTGTTTACAAACATTAGCATTGGGATGTTAATTTTGCCAATCATTATAACAATAGTTCTTGCCAATTTGCTTTGCTTCATCAGCTTACGTCACACCAACTAGCGCTATTAAACTTTTCTTGATACAGATGATTAGAAAGCAAAAAATCAAACTCAGAAAGAGTAACTATAAAAATAAAAAAAACAAAAATAAAAAATACAAGAAATACTAGTAAAAAAAAAAGGGACACCATAAAAAAATAAATACAAAATATTGAGGTGGATTACAAGTACTCACCTTTACTACTAGATAAACAACCAGTTGCTATGGAAACTTGAATGATCTGTGCTATTCTGTCAATTGATATATTAACAGCGTCATTCCTTGCATCAGGTAGTATGTCAACAGCTTCATTCAGACTATCAATAAATTTCACCATGCTCTCTGTCAATCTTTTAAGATCCTTACTGTCAAGCAAGTGCCGCAGGGTGTCTGATTCATCCATCACTTCTCCAGGTTCTAGTTCCATATCATCCTTAGGATTAAATTTACTTTTCCCAGACATGACGAGAGCTTGAAGGAGTCCAAGATGGAGCTCTGAATACATGTCTTTTAGACTTTGCTTCATGTCTGATGACTCATTTAACTTTAGTCTAGTCAAAGGTTCAAGGACTGTCCATTGTACCAGGCCTCTTACTGGGCAGAGAGGTAATGGTGGTGAGTCTGGAGAAGCAGCTGTTGGACTGTGTAGGGAGGGGAGAGTAATTAATGTCCTGTTGGGTTTGATCAGGCAGATGGAAGGATCTTGGCTTATCCATTTCACTATGACTTTTAATGTTGATAGAGCTGGGTGCAGGTTAAGAGAATCTGAAGAATGTTCTTCAAAAGAAAAAAGAAGGAAAAAAGGTTTACTAAGGGAAGGTACAGAGGAAAGATTTTATTGTAGTAGGGGGGGAGGGTTGTGGGATTCACAGTAAACTTTAAAACATTTAGCCCTCCGCTTTTACTCAGTAAGAAATTCATGGCCCTCCTATTAAGTCAAAAAGGAAACAGCTTTCATCAAAGTAAAAAGGGTTGACCCTCAACAAAAGTTATTTTTGCCCTCCCCTCCTTCCCAAAAACGTACCTTCCCTAATGGAAGTATATCACGTAACATACAACTGGACAAGTTTGTTTCTAACATGCATAAGACTTTCCCTTGGACATAAATTATTATTTAACAATTTTTTGCTTCAGGCTCAGTGATCATCAGTGAACGTTCACCAAGATGAAYTAGCACACCTTATGATATAAAGACGATCATCTTTACCTGTAGTAATCATTGTATGAATACTTGTCAGAGCAACAATCAACTGACATGCAAGATGTGGAGAAGAAAGTGATACAGACTGCAAAAATGGCAAAGAAACAGGTACCAAACAAGAGTAGTCTTCAATGACACATGTCGATACTTGGACAACAATTGATGAAAAATGACGGTGTTTCTAATTAAGAAAAAAAATGGTTTCAGACAGCATTACTGACGTCCTTATACACTTATGTGACAATATTGGCCGAAACAACAGATGAATAGACCTGTTAACCTAGGGTGTAATGTTTTCCATTCCAGACCACCTATAGTGTCATTTCTTTGTTTAATGGTGCACATTAGAAACATAAAATATATGGATACAACTCAAACAAAGAATCTTATTCTCAAAGGAATGACACCTGGTCCGAAATGGGAAAACATTACACTCAAGAAGGTCTATTTGATGAAACAAAAAGAAGGCATGTCAATGTTATATTATGTTTGGCCATTGGCTCAGAACCTATAGTAAACTTACAAAATTTACTCATTCTACTGTGGGGATTTCACTTTTACCTGCATCCACAATGCCATGCAGTCCATAATGTTACCGTTCCTTAGTGCTATTGCCATGGAAACCAGTTTGGTCAGCAGGTCTAATCTTCTGTTAAACTATGAATTCATGTCACATGCCATAAAGTTTGTTAGCATGAGAAATATTATATCATGAACATCTCTATAGATTTAGGGAGGATGGGGAGGGAAAGTAGTGGTAGTGGTAGAGGGGGGGGGGAGAAGGAAAGGTAGTGTGTAAACATGCAAAGGAAACTGGTATTGTTTCAAGACCTTTTTCAAATTCATTGAAGATATCGCTGTGTTCTCTGACTACAGATTCATTTGTGCAGGGTTAGCCTAGAATTTGCATTGAATATTCCTACATTTCATTGAAGGTCTGTGGAATTATTTTAAAGTGATTGTATTGTTGAAGCTGTGCCCGAGGGAGGGGGGGTACTCTTGCCCGTTTAGGGTATGGATGTGCCGCTGAGCCCTCTGAACCCTGACCCTGTTCCAGAGTAAAAATCGCTGAAATTCATACTCTGTTCCAGAGTGAGATCGCTGAAAACCCTGTTCCAGAGAGGAGAGAGCGTGATTTTATATACCCTGTTCCAGAGTAGAATCCCTGAAAACCATACCCTGTTTGGCGGCACGTACCTGTTGAGTGAAAAAAGGGGAGTACCCCCCTCAGGAAGCTGTGCTTTATTTACCTTACCGTTGGTATTTATGAACAGTTTGGCATGAGGCTGACCATGCATAAAAGAGTCTCTAATCTAGGAACACAGTGGTAATTGACAAATACTTCACAGTTCAGTGACCATGAATAATAGTTCCAAGTGGCGGCTGGAGTTGGCGCGCATAGAAAAACTATTTTCTTTTTTATCATATGCAGCAACCCCAACCTCTGCTTGAAACTATTATTTGTGGTCACTGAACGGGACTGTAAAATGGAGTAATCAAAAAAGATCCTTATTGTACCTTTTTCTCTTTTTGTTCCTGGTTCGAAAAACTAAAGAGTGTATCAAACACCAACCATCTCACAAAATCAGACTTTTGCTCCTTAAAATGTTTATTTAGAAGCTCTAAAAGACGAAGTTCTTGCAAAGCAGTGAGAGAAGATTTGTTTTGGTCCGTGATGTGGAATAAATACTGGTCTATGAGCTCAACAAGGAACGCGGATATAAAAAGTGCTGGAGTCTTGATACTTTCTGGATCGCTTGATTCAAAGTACCGATCCAAGGCATGGACGACTTGGTAACAACAGTCTGGAAATGGCATACGACTTATGCTTTGGTTTATGAACTTGACTTTATTGGGAATGTCCGTCCGCCAGCTTGAGATGACTATAAAGTATTAAAAAGTATGCTCAATTTGGAGAAAAGTTTAGCGCTGTGTGTGTATATTCAGTCAAGGTCCTAATTAATGCAGAAAAATATAAAAAATATGTTACCCTTACCCCAGATATCTTCTTCAGAGCTCTCTGATATCATTTTTCCTGTCTTATAATTAATTTATCAGCAGAATATCTTATATTTTTAACGTTCTTCGTCTTTCAACTCAACATGACAAAAAGTCCGCCATCTTGAAACTAGCAGCCTAGCCTTCTCTAGACATGAGAGTATGTGGACCGCGTGGCACTAATGAAATAGTAGAAGTTGTAGTGCTTGGGAACGAAGTTATTCCGGGCGGAAGCCCTTGGAATTAAATTCGGAAAAATTAATTTCCCACCTCGCTGGGATTCGAACCCACGACCTTCGGAATTGCTCTACCAGCTGAGCTAGAGGTCAGACTGAGAGCAGGCCGGGGTGAAATAGATGTTAGGTCGCGGTAATTATGATGCAAAGATGAGAGAAGGTCGTGGGTTCGAATCCCAGCGAGGTGGGAAATTAATTTTTCCGAATTTAATTCCAAGGGCTTCCGCCCGGAATAACCTCGTTCCCAAGCACTACAACTTACCTATATTATCTTCTTCTCTAGACATGTGAGGTGTAGAAAACTGGTACTAGCTCAATTTCTAGACGGCGCGAGGCGGCGCTACGGTCGTATAATCTAAGGGCAAGAGAATATTCTCTTGTCTAAGGGTAAATAGAGTGGTTTTCTGGGTTTTCATGTAGAGTGCATTCAGTCAAACTGTTGAATAGTTAGATAAATGTATCTTATAACTTAGATAACTATTTAGTTGACGTCACCTAAAATAGTAAAAGCGCGCCAAATAACGGACATGCTAATCCGGGGGGTTGTTTTACCAGAGAATGAGTGAATAGACATTCATTTGTATCATCGTTTCTCCCCCTGATCTCAGTAGCTGTTTACTCGTAGTNTCCGGGGGGTTGTTTTACCAGAGAATGAGTGAATAGACATTCATTTGTATCATCGTTTCTCCCCCTGATCTCAGTAGCTGTTTACTCGTAGTTTCAAATTTAGGTGATGTCAGCTAAAATAGTAAATAACTTATCTAATTTAGTTGGCGTCACCTATTCAACAGTGAGACTAAAAGTACTCTAATCTAAGGGTAAATAGAGTGGTTTTCTGGGTTTTCATTTAGAGTGCATTCAGTCAAACTGTTGAATAGTTAGATAAATGTATCTTATAACTTGGATAACTATTTAGTTGACGTCACCTAAAATAGTAAAAGAGCGCCAAATAACGGTCATGGTAATCCGGGGGGTTGTTTTACCAGAGAATGAGTGAATAGACATCGTTTCTCCCCCTGATCTCAGTAGCGGTTTACTCGTAGTTTCAAATTAGGTGACGTCAGCTAAAATAGTAATTTACTTATCTAATTTAGTTGACGTACACTATTCAAAAGTTTGACTGAATGCATTCTACCCTTGAAACGAAGTGTGCTAATTAGAGTGTATTAAGTCGGATAGACACAAAAGAAAACAGTGAAAGCAATTAAAGTGTGATAAAGCGTAATACGCTAAAGTGTGTTTCACGGGTTAATAAAAACCGCTTTCCCTCATAGCAACACTATGTCTAAGAATTCCGACTCCGAATTTCAAACGCTTAACTGCAAAGCTATCGGTATTCACTTAACTGATCTTGAAGAAATTCAAATCATAGTCAATACCGGTAGCTTTGCAGTCAAGCGTTTGTGAGATTCTGAGCCGGATTCATATCTCGAAGGATTTTGAGTCATGTGGTTGCACTCCAAGAGTATTGCCATAATTTCTGCCGGTTTCTGATACTGACCGGTATACTGCGACTATTGTATAGAGAGGTTTTGCAACATCACGTGACGGCATCCATGTAAGATGGAAGGAACAATATACTCGTTTTACGCGAGAAAGAATTCAATTCCCAAGAGCTAAGGCCTAACTGGCAGCCCAAGCTGTAGTATGGGCGTGGGCACGTGATGGTGTAGTCTCAGGGGAGAAAGCGTTGCGTGACGACACTGAAAGGGGCTGTGGGAAGACTAGTGATGTTGCAAAGCAGCCGAATTTCCCAGTCCCCACGCCACTAACAAGTGCCCAATCCTCCGCCTTTTTTCTGTCAAGGGACATTAATCTGTTTTGATTTTGTAGTTTTATCAATAAAAACATTCAAATATTTTCATACGCTTTATTAATGCGAAATACGGTTAATTATTGACAATTTTTCATCTAGTGCACTGTRAAACTCGATATTTAAAACCATTATCAAAGTCACGACACACGACCCCAGGCTACATGAAAGATTTACAGCAATTATATGCCATGAGATAATCTCAAGATTTATTTGATGCTGGAATGTGTGTCGATTGTCGCAGAGGAAAATTTATGGTGTGCTACATTCTAGTACCCTTCTCAGCTTTCTAACAAACAATAGATATTTAGCTGAAGGGACTTGGTACGAGAATGGGTGTGCGTGGTGTTTCAAGGCATTTTAACAGACCATACAACTGAAGCTACAATACGAAATCCTGTGCCACCAAGCTGCGAAGCATTCATTGTGAATGCATGAAGAAAATTCTATTTGATATGGCCATCATAACTGAACTAGGCTTGTACAAAAAATGTAACTGAAAAATATGCATCAAAGTCGATCGTTCAATCGTTCTGCCCCGGATTCTTATTTGTGAAAAAGAACGAAATCTCGTACACAATATGCTTGATGTATAGAGCCGAGAGATTTCGTTTTTAGATCTATGTGAGTCTTTCAGACAGCCAATCAAATACAACACCCCAAAAATCATTACTATGGAATTAATCGTTTCATACCGGGCAAATGTTTTGAATATGAAAAAGTCTTTACAGCCTACAACACAAATATCATGCAATTTGTTTTATTAAGCTATAGCTTTTTAGACGAATTTTCAAGAGGTCGAATCTGGATATAGATCTGTGCAGCTTGGCGAACGTGGTCCGATGCCAACACTCACGACGTCAAGATCCCCACGACTGGACCGGCGCAATTGTTTCCCTGTGTTCAATGCGTCGCCGAGGCTTTTTCTACGTGACTTGTGGGTTCCGTGAACATTGATCTGTGATTGACCATTCCCCGAAGCCTGATGCGCATCATAGACGGTGTGTGGACTTAAGAATTGAGGCGCAGGCATTGGTTCCTTTTCATAGTCATCCTCAGCATCGGAGTCCGTGTCGTATTCCGACGGTTCTTCACTGCTGTCACTCATTCTGCTTACTACGTCCTGCATCTCCTCCTTACGTCGCTTCTCGCGATACGCAAACACTGCTTGGATAATGTCTTCCTCGTTGTGATTAGCAATGTACTCGTCAAAGATCGGGATGGCATCACAGATGTCGTTCTCGCAATAATTCTCGTCGGCTTCTAAAAGCATTGCCAAAAGCAGCTTCTTCTTTCTGGTCAGGTTTTTAGTGTCGAACCATTTCATTTGTCGTATGTCTTCCATACACATATTACGGAATGCGTATTGGATGTTGTCAGATATTTCCTCGATGCTATCGACGTCTTTCTCGAGTTTGGACTTTTCCTCCACGTAGGTGGGCTTAATAGCGGGACCAACCTGTTTGCCAATGTTTTGCTTGACAGTGTGCATCATGAAGGACATTATTTCGTGGTCGTTGGCCTGATTGAGAACGTCTCTATTGACTTCATTAAAAGTGTCACAAATGATGCTCAAGAAGACGTTCACCAAGATAAATATTATGACAAGAACGTACGAGAAGAAGTACAGTGGACCAAACAAACGATTGGCCTGCAGAAGGGAAGGGAAATCTATATCTCCCAGTGTCATTCCGAAGAGTGTCACAATTGTCTGATGAAGGCTTGAGTAATTATCATCGGCACAACCAAACACTGCGAAACCAAATTGAGCGTAGGCGAGGAAAATGACACCAAAGTAGATGAAGAAGTAAAAGAGTGGTCCGGCGGCTTGTTTGAGGGTCCTGGTTAGTAAAGCCATTCTTCGGTTGAAGCGAAGTAAGCGAAGAAACTTCAGGAAAGAGAAGAACACTGCCAAGCTACAACAGGCAGACACCCATTCGTCCAGGAAAGCAACGTATTGGAAGCTGACAAAAGTATCCTGACTTTCTTTCATGGTCTCTAATGTATACGATGTCATCCCCATTCTAGCAAAGTACAGTCCAACTGAACTAATCGAAAACGCAAGAACCACTATTTCTAAATAGTTCCAAGCGTCTTTGAAGTATTCTTGTCTCTCATTTCGGTATTTCTTGACTTGGTTATAGAGAAAGTATAGCAAGAATGCTATGTAGGTGATCTCGCATGCCATGATGAACGCCATTTCTGGGCCAATGTAGCGGTATAGTCTTAGAGTCTGTACCTTTGGCATGTGATGGTACGCTCCAGTTGCTCGCACTTCAGTCAGTAATGTCACTGCGCTAAAGAAATTGGTGTAGGCGTTATAGACCGTGAATTCGGCGAAAACCGCTCTGGTGTATTTGTCGATCCATCCCTGAGATGAAAGCAGGTTTGCCATTTTCTCGGCTCTGGTTCTGTCGCTGCCAAAATCAGCAACATAACCTAGATTTGGTGGGAAGCAAGAACAGGAATAAATATCAACTAACTTGGCAAATACACAAGGAAACAGCAAGCTCACAGCCCAACGAACAAGGAAACTAAACAAATGAACAAACACAAAAACTACGATGATATGCTACGAACCAAAATCAGAACAGGCAAACAAATAGCTTGACACATTCGGCAACTAACGATTGCACGCTGAAGATAAATAAATTATACAAAAACCGTGCAATGTAATGACTACACACACAAATCTACACAATTTGGTAAGGTAACTAGATTACACAGAGTAATTTTCATCCATGCCCTTTTCTATATCGAATTATAATTCTGAAGTTGATTTTTGCAGAAAGTTGATGGATTTTAGTCTTACCTCCAGCCCAATAGGACGCAAACTGTCCCCAGTAGGGCGTGCCCTTTAGCTCCCAAGCGCTTCTGTAGTACCAGGGTGACTTGCTTTTTGGGTTTTTCGTGTCGTTGACTCCGAAAGGTTTCCAAGAAGGAAGGTAGCTTTCCTGGTCTTCTTTGTCCCAATCATAATCAGCGTTACATTCGTTGAACATTCTTCTTGCAAAAGGCAACATGGTGCATTGATCTAAACAAACGAAAAAAAAATTCTTGTAGTACAATTACATTCCTCTAGTCTAGGCAAACATCAGAAGATTTTTCACCTACCTCTTTTGATTCTGAGTTGTCTTATTCGAGGTGAGCCCACGAGGTAAGCGGTTTCATGGTCAGCGACAAAGTTTTCCTTATACTGGTGCACAACAGAAGGGTTGTCAATGTAATTACCGGTGACCGTTCTCCATTTGGATGCGGTCCTGGTATTTCTTAGTTTAATGATTTTCCTTTGTTTTTGAATCTCCTCTGCTTCGATGACGCTGTTGTTAAAGCGTACGACTGGTCCGTACCAGTACTGAGGTTTAAGGGTTGCAAGGTATGTCTTGTCAACCCACACCCAGTACTTATCAGGACTATCACTCTGGGGGAAAAAACAAGATATATTTATTTACTGTATGAAATAATTCTTGTTCAGGAGATTTTTGCTTAGATTTTGCGTTATAGGTGAGTGGGAGAAATCACTGGCTGAACGGCGACTACTGACAGACAGACAGACAGACAGACAGACAGACAGACAGAC